CCTAGCAGGTGTTCTTATGCGGTTTCGACAGGAGGAGGTTGTTCTCATTGCAGACATAGAACAGATGTTCCACCAAGTTCGGGTACCTGCTGAAGACTGCGATGCCCTTCGGTTCCTGTGGTGGACTGGAAATCTCAGTGATGAACCCGAGGAGTACCAGATGCAGGTCCACATATTTGGTGCCACATCCTCCCCTTGTTGCTCCAATAAAGCTTTGCGACAAACTGCTGACGATAATGAGGACAAGTATGGCAGCGAAGTTGCAGAAACCGTCCGTCGTAACTTTTATGTCGACGACCTCCTTAAGTCTATTCAGACAACTGATCAAGCAATCACCCTTGCCTTTAAATTGGTTGCCATGCTGAAAGAGGGCGGCTTTCACCTGACCAAGTTTTTGAGCAACAGAAGAGAGGTTCTGTCTGCGCTTCCTTCCCAAGAAAGAGCCAATCCAACTCTTAACCTTGAGTTGGACAGATTACCAATCAATCGTACCTTGGGTCTTCACTGGGATGCTGAGAGGGACGTATTCTGCTTCAAGACAGTGACTTCCACCAAACCTGCCACGAAGCGTGGAATTCTCTCCACCATAAGCTCGCTGTTCGACCCTCTCGGATTCCTGTCACCATTTGTGCTCCCAGTCAAAGTGCTTATTCAAGATCTCTGGAAAGAGAAGGTTGGATGGGACGAAGAAATCCAAGACCACCATTTGAAAGTTTGGCGACGCTGGACACATTCTCTTCCACAGCTTGAGGAGATCCAGTTACCTCGCTGCTACAGGAACTTAAGTATGCCGAGCAATTGCACAGTTCAACTCCACATGTTCAGCGATGCAAGTGAGTATGCCTACTCAACCTCTGCATACTTAAGACTGAGTGACAACCATGGTGACCAAACACACTGCTCCTTTGTCTTCGGTAAATGCCGTAATGCACCCCTCAGGAGACCAACCATCCCACGCCTCGAGCTCATGGCGAGCCTGATGGCAGTCCGAACCAGCAACCTCATTAGGGCTGAGCTTGATTTTCCCATCGACTGCATTGTTTTCTGGACCGACTCACTAACAGTGCTCCAGTATATCAAGAACAAAACGAGAAGATTCCATCGCTTCGTTGCCACCAGATTAGAGGAAATCCATGAGCATACTACACCCGATCAGTGGCATCATGTCCCAGGAACCCTGAATCCAGCGGATGATGGATCTCGAGGCATGCCTATAGAAGCCCTTCACCCTGGATGCCGCTGGTGGACTGGACCCAAATTCTTATGGCAAACAGAGGAACATTGGCCTCACCGCAAAGTGGGTGACATCCTGGAGAATGACAAGGAAGTAATCACTCCGAGAACCAATCAGAGTATAACAGCTACAGCTGTTTCCTCCTTGGATGAATTGTTGAGGAAGTTTTCCTCATGGCCTAAGCTGGTCAGGACTGTGGCATTGATCATGCGTTTTCTTCAATTTGTCAGGTCCAAATGCAGTGTACCAGCCATATCTAACCATGGCGGGATCAGATTAACAGAGATGCTCACCGCTTCAAAGGCCATCATAAAAAGGGTCCAACGGCAGTATTTCCAAGGAGAGCTGGAAGCCTTGGAGTCTGGTAAACCTGTGAAGAAAGACAGTAAGTTAAGTACACTTAGTCCAATCCTCGTCAATGGTACAATATGCGTTGGAGGCCGGCTACGACATGCACCAGTAGCCTTTCAAGCCATCCATCCATTGGTGATCCCAAGCGAGCATCCCATTGCTACACTGCTTGTTCGACATCACCATGAGATCTTTGGACATGCAGGTCGGGAACATGTGCTATCTACACTGCGTCAGAAATTCTGGATTCTCAACGCCCGCGCATTGACCCGACGTATACTACGCTCCTGCATAGCCTGCCGCAAACGACATGAAGGTGTCATGAAACAGATGATGGGAGACCTACCGAAGCCCAGACTCACACCTCATGAGCCACCCTTTACCTACACGGGGGTGGACTTCTTCGGTCCCTTCCACGTCAAGAGGGGTCGTAGCTCTGAGAAAGTTTATGGATGCATCTTCGTCTGTCTCACCTGCAGGGCTATCCACATTGAGGATGTTGGATCCTTAGAGTCAGACGCCTTCATCCAAGCCCTGCGACGCTTTATTAACATTCGTGGGGCCGTCAAGGAAGTCTGGAGTGACAATGGTACCAATTTCACTGGTGGTGAAAAGGAAATTAGAGATGCCATTCAAGACCTGGACCACAACATCATTCAGAGATCCCTGCATGAGAAAGATGTCGAATGGCATTGCCAACCATTGACAAAGTGGCATTTCCACCCCCCAACCGCCAGCCATATGTCCGGGGTGTGGGAGCGACTCATCAGGAGTGTCCGTGGTACCATGAAGGCCATCCTAGGTCACCCTCATGCCTTCATTACCAGGGAGACCCTCAGAACTGTCTTTGCTGAGACAGTCGGAATACTCAACAGTCGGCCTTTATGCCCAAGCAGCGACGACCCTGATGACTGCGAACCCATTACTCCCAGTCATCTCCTACAACAACGAAAAGGGATGTCTTTGCCGCCAGGAGATTTCCAAGACAGAGACCTGTATTCCCGCAGGCAATGGCGAAGGGGCCAAATTCTCTCAAACCACTTCTGGGTTAGATGGCTGCGTGAATACTTACCCCTGCTTCAGGAGCGCAAGAAGTGGATTCTCAAACGGCGCAACTTGGCACAGTTGNCAAGGCTGTGGCTACTTAAGTCGTACCATTCTGGCCTTCGTCGTATTTTTGGCCTATCATTGCTAGAAAATTTTTTAGTTTTGTGATAGATTATAAGTTGTTCAGCGGAAGGACTGTTCTGAAGCATGGTCGGAACACCAATTCGTTGTTAGGCTCTAAGAGATTTTTTGGACAAATGTTAGCGGTCCGTATGAAGTTTTGATTGCTTGACCACCGGGTCTCTGTAACTCTTAGGATGATCAGTAATGATTTAGTTGAGATTTGTTTGGTAGGTATAAGGACGCTTGTCCGATCATACATCGATAAGAGGGCACTGGCCTCGGATTAGGGGAGCACTTTATCGTCTCAAGCTTATATTCTGAGGTAGTTTATGTGGCAGTAGAACGCTTGTGCATACGATAGAAAGGTGGCGCTGGCCTGTTTTCGGAGACCGGTTGTTGCTTCGAATCTTGTATTTTAGTTTGCGGCGTTTCTTTTAAATGTTTTCCGCTCTCTTTTGTCTTGTTTTCTTTTGTTCAGTCGTCAGATGTTTACCACTCAAGGCTATTGGGAGAACATCTCCGACCACGTGAAACCAAACACCAAAGATCTTCTGACCTTTTAAATGAAGTCTAAGGCGGATTCCACAGTTAAAAGTTATACAAGAGAAATCGTCAAGTTCTCAAGATGGCGTAATTTCTCCGGTATTCAGCCGTCGCCTACTTTCTCGGTTTCGGTTCTAATTGCTTACCTTCACGAGGTATACGGTTAGATCCAAGTCTTATGCAACACTATCGTTGACAAATTCAGCCCTTAAATGGTTACATTCCTTTATTCCTGGCATCATTTGCAAACCTTTGGATGTAGCAATTTGCCATAATTTGTTAGAAGCAGCTAAACGCACCAAACCAGCTGTTTCTAAGAAGGAACCCATCTCTGCCGATATTATTAAGAAAATCATTAATAAGTATGCTGGTCCATCAGCTAACCTCAAGGACTTGCGTTTAGCTTGCATGTGCTCGTTAGGTTTCGCGGGGTTTCTTCGCTATGATGAATTTAGCAACATTTTGATTAGCCATTTGGAATTTTTGCCTAATCATTTGTGTGGGTTTTTTTCCCGTGCCAAGAATGACGTTTACAGAGAAGGGAATAAGGTTTATATTAAGAGATTGTTTAGTAGATATTGTCCTGTTACCCTCCTAGAAAGATACATTCTGATGGCTAAATTAGATCTTAACAGCAATTTGCCACTCTATAGACCTTTAAGATCTTGCAGGAATCAGTCGATGTTCTGTAACAGACGAGTTGAAGTAGAAACTCCAAGCAACAGCAAGAGGAAAACAGTGATTTTAAGTTATGATAGCGTTTTTAACGGGACAATATTGGAATTGGAATGCACGGGAGAAACTGTTTGTGATCGTGTTGACGTCAATTAGGTCTAATCGTTATCTGTCTTGTAGTTGTTGAGCGTCGATTAGTGTTCACAACAAGTAATGGAGCGTTTAAACTGATAACAAAATTTTCGCTTGATTTCCGGGATTGTACTTCATTTAATTTTATCAGATAGAAGTTAGAAATGTATTCGAAACCGCCAAGGTCTGTAAAGTAACCAAGTGTAGGCATGATTATATGATCTTCACGTAGTTATAATGTTACGTATTTGACATTTACTCGCTTTCTGCTTCAGTAATTGACAAGTGAAAAGGTACAAAATGCGGTATTTGGATTTTAAAATATTGATGATTTTCAAAAGCGTTCCATGGCCTCCAAATTAAATGAAATGGTCCCGTTTACTTAAACCATACCTCGATCCTTCGTATCCAAATCTATAAAATTAATATGGACCTGCTTTCTTTTTGCGCTTTTCATGAGCAAGTTCACTTGTCTCTACTCAGGGCACTGATAACCGCCATTTCACGGCTGCCGACGCTCGTTTTTGTTTTCGTGAATTTTTTAGGATTAAGAGGCATGTCTGGAGTAAAAAAAAAAAAACCATACACCGTTGCTATGTCCACCATAAGGTGTCTCTGACCGAAATATGAGGATAGTCATTTTTCGGTCGATGTGCCGCCTCTAACGTGGTCTTGAAAAAAACATTTGAAGAGGAAGCAATCTTAGAGCTCTTGCGTTCATATCGTGGGGTAGAAGTCCAAGCTCCCCCTCATGTGGTTAACCATCTATCTGTATCTGTGCAACCCAACGGGAAGAAGAGATTAATCTTAGACTTAAGGTACGTTAATAACCATCTTACCAAACAAAGAGTCAAGTACGAAGACTGGAAGATAGCTCTGTCTTATTTCCAGAAGGGAGCGTTCATGATTTCGTTTGATTTAAAGAGTGGCTACCTATAAACGATGATGATGAAACGATGATGAAGCGGCGTGTCTGGTCGTTTATTCGAAATATAAAGAAATGTATGGGAGAATGTTGAAGAGTCGTAATATCGTAAACTTATATCGACGAATGTCTTTGTTAAGGCTCAAAATAAATGTAAACCTACCTCACTTGCTGTGTATTGTCTTTTCTGTGGTTCAGTCTAACAGTTCTAAACTTTCAGTCACGTTTTCTTGCCATTTTTTCAGCAGAACACACCCCACATCGCTTTGTTGAGATGAGTTGCAAACGGTCGGATAAGTTTTTATCACTTTTTAAGTTCGATCAGTTTACATTCATCAAATGTTACTTTGATACCTTCTGAGACATCGATTAACTACTTCATTATTCTAGATCGACGACGTAGCGAAGAGAAAAGCACTCTTCCATCTCCTATACTAGTCTACCAACTAAACATATATTTTCTGCTGGTATACGGAGTTTACAGTTCATTAACAGTTAATTTGTTTCATTGTTGATTCAATTCACTATAGGACACGCCATTTGGGGCGTGTCCCCTGGGTATTCCTGATTGGTGTGGTTTCAGTATTTAGAGACGGTTCAGTGTGATTTAGTCCTCTCACTCTCGCTTTCCACGTTGACATCGAAGTTGTAGCCCCACCCGCTCGCCTGTGGCAGTTTTCGTTATTTTTATCATTTTCTATCTCTCCGTTCCCAAGCCCTTCAGAGTATGTTGCAGGGGTCAACCGTTCTTTCAGATGCAACCGCGCCGGACACTGGGCCAAGGACTGCACAGTCGGAAGCCCTTTTATCGCACAGCCCAACAGAAGCGGTTGCCATTATTCTAGCAGCGCCACACCTACTAAGCCCGGATCGGGAGGATTCCACGAAGGGGCATCCAAATATTAGCGGTAACGACGCTCCTTTTGACGAATTTGTCGAGGTAATAAGTGATTACGAACATGAAAGTTAAACGGGGCCGGCCATATTGCAAGTCAAAGGTAGTTTGAGGAGAAACATATCTTTCTGGCACGATATAGGTGCGCCAGAATTTATTTTATCGGTCATTCAAGACGGCTACCGTCTTCCTTTCGAGACAATTCCCTCCGGGAATGTTCTCAAAAACAATACGCCTTCTTTGCATTATCCAAGATTTCTAGAGGAAGCAATCTTAGAGCTCTTAAGTTCGTATCGTGTGGTAGAAGTCCAAGCTCCCCCTCATGTGGTTAATCCTCAATCTGTATCTGTGCAACCCAACGGGAAAAAGAGATTAATCTTAGACTAAAGGTACGTTATAAAGCATCTCACCAGACAAAGAGTCAAGTACGAAGACTGGAAGATAGCTTTGTCTTATTTCCAGGAGAGAGCGTTCATGATTTCGTTTGATTTAAAGAGTGGCTACTATGGGGGCCCAAACTGGTCAAAATGAGGTTAATAATTATTTTCGTATTTTAAATAATTATATGTACTTGAAAAGATAATTTTTCGTGGTGGAAAATTTAATTATATGTAGTGTTCATTATAATTATTTTTATCTAATTGTTGTATTTATTTTTACGAGTGTGTCAATTATTTATTTCTCTTTGACAATTAATTAAGGCAAATCCCACAATGCAGTGCGCAGGATTAAAAGTCCCATCAGCCATTGCATGTTGGAAGTATGAGGAAAGATCTACAAGTTATAGCCCTTAAGATTTTTCAGTTTTGCGTTGATAATCATTGAAATCGAATTGGAAGTACAATGGATTCCCCGAACTAAGCTTGATAGGGCGGACTTCATTAGTCGTATTATTGATGTCGATGATTGGCAAATCACAACTTCCTTTTATGAATTCCTGGATTATACTTGGGGGCGACATACAGTGGACTGTTTTGCCAATTTCTATGATAAGAAAATCAACAAGTTTTATCCAAGATTTTGGAATCCAGGTTGTATGGGAGTGGATTTCTTCGTTCAGAATCTGACAGGGGAAAATTGCCTCGTTGTTTCCCCGGTAAATCTAATCCATAGGACAATTCACTATGTGTATATATCCAAGGCTGTAGCTACTTTAGTCGTACCATTCTGGCCTTCGTCGTATTTTTGGCCTTTCATTGTCGGAAAATTTTTAGTTTTGTGATGTATTTTAAGTTGTTCAGCGGAAGGATTGTTCTGAAGCGTGGTCGGAACACCAATTCGTTGTTAGGCTCTAAGAGATTTTTTGGACAAATGTTAGCAGTCCGTATGAACTTTTGATTGCTTGACCACCGGGTCTCTGTATCTGTTAGGATGATCAGTAATGATTTAGTTGAGATTTGTTTGGTAGGTATAAGGACGCTTGTCCGATTATACATCGGCAAGAGGGCGCTGGCCTCGGATTAGGGGAGCACTTTATCGTCTCCAGCTTATATTCTGAGGTAGTTTATGCGGTAGTAGAACGCTTGTGCATACGATAGAAAGGTGGCGCTGACCTCTTTTCGGAGACCGGTTGTTGCTTCGAATCATGTATTTTAGTTTGTGGCGTTTCTTTTAAATGTTTTCCGCTCTCTTTTGTCTTGTTTTCATTTGTTCAGTCATCAGATGTTTACCACTCAAGGTTATTGGGAAAACATCTTCGACCACGTGAAACCAAATACCAAAGATCTGACCTTTTTAATGAAGTCTAAAGAGGATTCCACAGTTAAAAGATATACAAAAGAAATCGTCAAGTTCTCAAGATGGTGTAATTTCTCCGGTATTCAGCCGTCGCCTCCTTTCTCGGTTTCGGTTCTAATTGCTTACCTTCACGAGGTATACGGTTAGATCCAAGTCTTATGCAATACTATCGTTCACACATGCAGCCCTTAAATAGTTTCATTCCTTTATTGCTGGCATCATTAGAAATCCTTTGGATGCAGCAATTTGCCATAATTTGTTAGAAGCAGCTAAACGCAACAAACCAGCTGTTTCTAAGAAGGAACCCATCTCTGCCGATATTATTAAGAAAATCATTGATAAGTATGCTGGTCCATCAGCTAACCTCAAGGACTTGCGTTTAGCTTGCATGTGCTCGTTAGGTTTCGCGGGGTTTCTTCGCTATGATGAATTTAGCAATATTTTGATTAGCCATCTGGAATTTTTGCCTAATCATTTGTGTGTGTTTGTTCCCCGTGCCAA